CAGCTCCCATGGTTCCCACAACGTGAACAATGGCAATGGCTCAGGTGACCTCCGGGACCAACTCGACAACAATCGCGGAGGGGACCTCCGAGAACAGCTCAACAACGGGAGGCCCGGGGACCTTCGAGACCAACTCAACAATGGAGGGGACCTCCGAGACCAACTCCACAATGGAGGGGTGAACCAAGTCATGAACCTCCAGGCGGCCATTCAGCAAGCAGTGACGGCGGCACTAAACCAAGTGGCGGTGGGACTACAAGGCCAAGTGCCCCCGCCGCGGCCTCAGGAAATAGAGGTAGAATCCCCACGGAGGGTGGATGCCCAGGACACGACCCGTGCCGCGAGGGACGCAGGGCGTCGCACTAGGACCGGGGGTCCGGGAGAGGGCACCCAAAGAAGCGGACCGGCCGGATGGCAGCCCAGGCCCTCCCGCTCTGCCTTAGAACGGTTGGGACACGGGGTGCCCGCTCAGCAAAGACCGGAGTCGCGCGCCGAGGGGTTCTCCGCTAGAGGCCCTCGCCGACACGAGGAAAGAGAAGCGGAGAGATTGCACACAGAAAGGATGGGCGAGTCTCGTGGGCCGGCCCCGCGCCGGCACGGTGATGAGTCGGCCCTGCGTCGACACTCGGAAGAGCGACGCTTCGATGAACCGGCCCCGCGTCGGCACTCGGCGGAGCGACGCGTCGATGAGTCGGCTCCGCGTCGGCACTCAGCGAGCGAACGACGCGTTGGTGAGCAGGTTCCACATCGACACTTGGATGGACGAAACGTCGAGGAACCAGCTCGTCGACACTCAGATGGACGACACGTCGATGAACTAGCCCCACACATGGAGGAGCGGCAGCCGGCCCCGCGCCGGCACCCTAACGAATCAGCCCTGGTCGAAAGGCTGCAGAGAAGGATCGAGGAGTTAGCATGAGGGGTGGAGGCATGGGAGCAGTCACCGGAACCCGAGGTACGAATGCCAGCACCGTTCTCCCCAAGCATCATGAACGTACCTCTGCCGAGGGACTTCAGGTTACCCGCCATCAAGGCATACACGGGAGCCACTGACCCACGTGTCCACATGACTAGGTACAAGGCTGCTATGGTGATGATTGGGGCAGGGGACGCCATCATTGGCCGAGCGTTCTTGTCCACCCTGGATGGAACGGCCCAAGATTGGTTCAACACCATCCCAGACGGGTCGATCCAAAATTTTGGAGAGTTGTCCAAAAGCTTCGTGACATACTTCTCTGGTAGCATACAGCGTAAGAAACCATTCTCTCACCTCTGTGTAGTAAAGCAAGATAGAGGCGAGAGCCTCAAAGACTTCCTGATCAAGTGGAAAAAGGAAGTCAATAATGTCTACGACTTCGACTCCAAGGCGGCGATCCCGATATTCATCCACGCCTTGAGATCGGGGTATTTTCAGAAGCAGTTGAACGCCCACCACCCCCGTTCTTATGAAGATTTGATGAGGACGGCTAGCCGCTATGCCGAAGCAGAGGACGTCGACAGGAAAAAGAAAGATGAGGAGGACGGCAGGAAAAACGGAAAACCTGGGAAAGCTGGTCCGTCCAGCCAGGCACCACGTTCGAACTACCCGGCCGCAGGGAAGGGCCGGGACCATGAACGGCCTCGCCTGGTTCCCCTGCGTAACCTAACTCCTCTTACCCATCCCGTCAGCGTCATCCTAAAACAGGCTGAGGAGATGGGAATAGTCGAGTTCCCACCAGAGTGCATGAAGGTCTCCCCAAAAGGAGACCAAGCAAAGTACTTCAGGTTCCATAGGCAACCCGGACACGACACGGATGAATGTAACTACTGAAGAGACAAATAGAAGAACTCATCGAGCAGGGCTACTTCCGGGATTTCGTCAAGCGATCCAAGCAGCAGCAACAGCCGCAGCGCGATCCATCAAAAATCCACCAAAAAATGTCTGGAGGAAGGAGGATGGCGCCGAGCCGTCCACCTCGAACGCCAAGAAAAGAGAACATGACCAGATATCTGAGCAGGATGATAGCGAGAAGGAAACCGAGGTGGCACCCAGACGACAAAAGAAACACACCATACACTTTATCTATGGTGGACCTGCGGGGGGGGGGGGGGGGGACACACCCACAGACAGGAAAAAGTGGAGCAGACAGCTGTACGTGGGAGAAGTGGTAAGTCTTCCCAAAGGAAAGAAGCAGAGGAGGGAAGCCATCACTTTCTCTGACGAGGACCTCCCCGAGGGCCCCTTACCCCATCGCGACGCACTTGTGATCAAGATGGATATCAATGATACGATCGTACATCGCATCTTGGTCGACACGGGAAGCTCGGTTAATGTGATGTACTATGACGCTTTCACCAAGTTAGGGCTACCTAGAGGCCAGCTCAAAGAGGTATGAACTCCACTCTCTGGGTTTGCTGGGGATTCGGTGGAAACAGAAAGGTCGGTGACCCTGCCCGTGGAAATAGGCACGAGCCCCAACATTCGCAAGCTGGACATGGAGTTCATCGTGGTAAGACTCACTTGTGCGCACAACATCATACTCGGGAGGCCAGCACTGGAGGACCTCAAGGCCATAGTATCGGTGGAACACTTGTGTATGAAGTTCCCCACTCCGAATGGAATAGGAGTCGTCAGAGGTGACCGACGGGCAGCCCGCAGTTTCTACGTGAAAGCATGCAAGAAGATTGGCAGTAAGGACCTACAGGTCCACACGATCGCGGAGAAAATTCTCAAAGAAGAAGAGGCCTGGCCCCGCGCCGAGCCCGTGTCAGAGACGGAAGATATAGTTCTGGATCCCTCCAGACCAGACCGAGTGGTGAAGATCGGCACAGGCTTAAGCCTAGAGCTAAGGGCCCAGATAGTGGATGTAATCCGCCGTTCTCACACGGTGTTCGCATGGGGGCTAGAGGACATGCCGGGCATAGATCGAAAGATCATAACCCACAAGCTCGCAGTCGACCCCAGCGGAAAACCAGTGCATCAGCGAAAAAGGTATATGTTGGCAGAACGAAGAGAGTTCGTGAAAAAGGAGGTGACCGCATTACTCAACGTAGGGCACATCAAGGAGATTTACTACGCACAGTGGCTGAGCAACGTAGTCTTGGCTCCCAAAGGATCAACGTGGAGGATGTGCGTAGACTACACGGACCTCAATAGGGCATGCCTTATGGACCGTTTTCCACTACCCAATATAGATCAATTGGTGGATGAGACGGCAGGGTGTGAACTCATGAGCTTCATGGACGCCTTCCGTGGGTACCATCAGATATCCATGCATGAGGAGGACGCCGAGAAGACCGCTTTCACCACTCCCGAGGGGATATTCTGCTACTTGGTCATGCCGTTTGGATTGAAGATTGCCGGGGCCACATACACTCGCATGGTGGCAAAGCTGTTTAAGACAGTACTGGGATGAAACATGGAAGCATACATGGACGACATGATCGTCAAAAGTCGCAAGGCCACCTCCCATGCCGAGGATCTCAGCGTGGTATTTTCCATTATGAAGAAATTTAATTTGCGCTTGAACCCAAAAAAATGCACCTTCGCCGTTGATGGGGGCAAATTTTTGGGCTTCATGGTCACTAGGAACGGCATTGAGCCGAATCCAGAAATAGTAAGAACTATCCTTGACATGGAGCCTCCGCGGTCCATAAAGGAAGTCTAGAGACTCAACTGGCGTCTGGCGGCCTTAAGCTGTTTTCTATCTAAATCGGCTGAACATTCCCCCCCCCCCCCCTTCTTCCAAATCTTGAAAAAGAGCAAAGGGTTCGAGTGGACGCCAGACTGTCAAAAGGCCTTCGAGGAGTTGAAAAAATACTTGTTGTCCCCGCCCCTGCTTGCAAAGCCAGAGGCAAGTGAAGCCCTAATTTTGTACTTGGGCGTGTCACAGTGTGCGATCAGCTCCGTGTTGGTCAAAGAAGAAGGAGGGACTCATCGTCCCATCTACTACGTAAGCAAAGCCCTACACGACGCAGAGCTCCGATACAGTGTGTTGGAGAAGACAGTATTTGCCATAGTCACTTCATCAAAAAGGTTGGCTCACTACTTCCAAGCTCACCCCATCCACGTACTCTCACACTAGCCGTTGGGGAGCTTCCTCCGGAATACTAACAGCTCCGCCAGGATGGCACGGTGGGCCATGCACCTCAGTCAGTTTGACATAGATTTCAAACCAAGGCCCGCCATCAAAGGCCAAGCTCTTGCAGACTTTATAGTGGAGTGCACAGCTCGGGAAGTGACGGACCAGGTAGAAACTGAAGATGGAGGGTGGTGGACCTTGTCCACAGACGGCTCTTCGAATAGCAAAGGTTGCGGCGGTGGCGTAGTGCTCGTCACTCCGGAGGGGTTCCGCGCCTACTATGCCATCCGATTCCACTTCAAATTATCTAACAATGAGGCCGAGTACGAGGCCCTCCTAAATGGACTGCGATTGGCGGCGGGACTACGAGCTGAGAAGGTCCGAATTCGATGCGATTCCAAGCTGGTAGTCAGCCAGGTGTCTGGGGAGTATGAAGCTAACGAAGGAAGCATGCAAAAATATAGAGACGCGGTGTTGAGAACCCTGCGCGAGTTTGAGGGGCACGAGATACACCAGGTACCGAGAGAGCAGAACGCCGACGCCGACATGCTCACAAAGCTAAGTACCGGAGTCCCCAGCCACATTAGGAAGATCGCTCGACTGGAAGACCTCGAGACTTCAAGTATCGACGTTTCGTGGGTCTTCCCTGTGCAGACTAGGGAGCCATGTTGGATTGATCATATCAAACGATACAAGGCTGATGGTACCCTACTGCAAGACGAGGCATACGCAAAGGTAACGAAGTTACGGGCACCCAGCTACGTTGTCTCGGGCGATAAACTGTACAAACGCTCCTACAACGGCACGTTACTGAGGTGTCTATATCCAGATGAAGCGAAGTTGGTGATAAAAGAAGTCGACGAGGGGGAATGCTCCGTGCACCAAGGGGCGTAAACCATCGCACGCCGCATCATGTTACAAGGGTATTTTTGGCCCAAAATGCTGAGGGACTGCGCCGAGTATACAAAGCGATGTCCCAAGTGCCAAGAATTCCAAGCACTGCCGGGTCGACCTGCGACGAACTACACCCCGGTAAGCACCGCGATTCCTTTTTCGAGATGGGGAATTGACTGGTAGGGGCCCTTCCCACGGGGACTGGAAGCAGGAAGTACATCATTGTGGCCATCGACTATTTCACGAAATGGGTGGAGGCCGAGCCCCTGGCGAGCATCACCGCAGCAAGGTGCAAAAGGTTTGTCGAGAAAAACATCCTGTATCGTTTCGGTATCCCTCTCCAGGTAATCACAGACAATGGCCGCCAGTTCGAGGCACGAGAATTTTCAGAATTCTTAGCAGGATCGGGCGTTAAGCATAGCCGGGTGGCGGTATCTTACCCTCAGGCGAATGGGCAAGTGGAGAATGCGAATAGAACCATCCTCGACGGCCTCAAGAAAAAGCTAGAAGTGGCTGGCGGAGCTTGGGTGGAGGAACTCGACGGCATCCTCTGGCCCTATCGCACGACACCAAGAAGGGCAACCGGGGAAACCCCGTTCGCACTCGCCTATGGATTCGAAGCTCGGGCCCCGGTGGAAGTAATCATACCTAGTAGAAGGGTGGAGGAGTTCGAGTCAGAACAAAATGAACTCCACCAAAGGGTGGATCTGAACTTCTTGGATGAAAAAAGAGAAGCGGCATTCTGCAAGATGGAGAACTACGGTCGTCAGCTAAAGTCCTACCACGACGCAAAAGTCCGACCCCGGTACTTCCAGGTCGGCGACCTTGTGTTGCGAAGAAGGGAAGCCAGCCAACCCCTTGAAGGGGGAAAATTCGCAAAGAAGTGGGAGGGGCCTTACGCCGTGGAGGAAGTCGTTCGCCCCAGGAACATACAAGTTAAAAACTACATGGGGAAGAATGATCGATCGGGTATGGAACTCGGAACATTTGATCAAGTACTTTCCTTAAAAATCCTGTAGTAGCAATCATTGGAAATAGTACTTGGCAATCGCGGTCCGTCCGCTCTACACGCTAGAATTCTTGGAAATAATATCTTACTTTCATGGTCCGTCCATGTTATTTACTAAAACAAATTCGTTATCATCTTTTGCCAAATTTTCAGAAATAATATCTCGTTCTCATGGTCCGCCCGTGTTGTAAAAAAAAAAAAAAAAAAAAATATATATATATATATATATATATATATATATATATATATATATATATATATATATATATATATATATATATATATATATATATGTATGTATATATAGAAGCTCGGATGGCCGAGGCGCGCACCTCGGCCACGGTCGGCCAAAGGTTGGCCGAGGTGCACGCCCTCGGCCAAAGGTTGGCCGACAATTTGGCCGAGGCACGCCTCGACCAACACCGAGTCCGTCTCGGCAAGCAAAAAAAAAAAAAAAATTATAACAACATGTTTATTCCGAAGTAATTAGTTTATTTCAAATATTCTAAAAATAGTAGCAAGTTGTTCAAACACAGAAAGCAAATTGTTCAAAGACATAGCTAGAAAGCAAGGGAAAATCGTAAGACTACGAACTACTCATGGTCCGAGAGCTCCTCAATCATAATCTGATCAAGTGGAACATTGGGGACGTTGCTAGTGTCAATGCCGTGAAACTCGTCCACCAAAGAGTCCTCACGAGCGTCCGTAACATCAACAGTGGATTCATTCTCAGCATCAGGATCCGGATTCTTCTCTATTACAGGCAAGCCAAGGGACACGGGGTCAAAATTTGGAACCTTCTCCCTCAGCACTGAAAAGATCTCCTGTTGCTTCGTGTACCGCCCAATGTTGAAAGCCACCTGCGCCTCAGCCTCAACCGCCTCTTGACCAGCACCAGTTTTGAGGAATTCTCGGATAGCCTCAGGAGTGCACATATAGTGCATCGCGTCCTCCCTAAACTCGGCTGAACTCTTGTAGACCTCCACAGCCCGACCGAGGGCGTCAACATGGCCAGCACGGGTCCTCTCGTGGTCCTCCCACTCCTTCACGAGGGCAAGTTTAACCGCTCCGTGCTCTTTCCTTAGAGCCTCAAGCTCGCCCTCCATCTTGCTCATAGCCTCCGCCTGGGCCAACAGCGCTTGGTGCTCCTTCCTTAGCGCCCCAAGCTCGCCTTCCATCTTGCTCAAAGCCCCTTCCCGGATCGATAGCAGGTCCTTCAGGCTCTTGTTGTCCACGTCCCTAATTTTAACATCCTCGATGAGCGCGTCCGTCACCCGCCGCCGTTGGGCATGAATGATCTGTCCCTCTAGCAGGGCCTGAAAGTAACAAACGGAGTAAGACACACGCCAGGGCAGAGAGAGAACACAAGTATGAGAACACTAACCTCAAAAATGTGTCTAAGATAACGCTCTTGCAGCATGTTGACATCCATGGCGACAAGGTGTTCCAAGTCCGCAGGAGGAGCGATACGAGCAGCATACTCAACCGCATCAAGACTCTTATTTATTAACGACGCTCCGGGTGGCATGTCCATTCCCAGTCGAATCAAGTTAGTCCAAACACGCGAGCCAGGCTCAGTAGAAGTATCTCCTTGCACCTCGGGGGGTTGAGGGGAAAAAGTAACGGCCGAGGGCGTGCGAGTCGATGGAGGCTGCGTAACCCCCTCGGCAACCTTGGTTGGAGTAGGCACACGCACCCCCTCGGCAACCTTGGTTGGAGTAGGCACACGCACCCTCTGGGCGACCTTTGTTGGGGTAGGCGTACGCTCAACGTCCTTGGATGGAGTCGGCGTGCGTGCCGGCGGAGGCGGCATCACCTCCGTGGCCTCGGCTTTACCCTTCTCTACCTTGCTCTTCTTTGGGAGGGGGGGGGGGGATCCTGTCGCGACATGTATCGACCGGTTCTCGAAGATGAAGACATGGTACCTGAAATAAAAAGAAGACAAGTTAGAGTTAGTAGTTGATGAATAAAGACTAAGTAGTTACAGAAGAGTACCCGTGGGTGAAAGAACAGCCGGATGAGCCCTCACGAAGCCCAAACCCGCGAGCATCCACTCGGTAGTATAATCAACGATCGATAAATGACCATCCCCTAGTAAATCATCTACATCTCGGCGGAGGGAGGGACTCATGTCAGGAGTAGGAGGGCAACGTAAATGGGATCCTCACGTGACACGAAAGGGAGATGAACGACCCACAAGGGTGACAAAGACATATTTGGGTTTCCAATCCTTGTTATAAGTAGGACGGTCCTCAAAGAGTTTGAAATGCAGCCTGCTCAAAACCATGACAAATCCCGTACCCTCCTGAGAAGCCCTACCAACTATGAAAAGAGCCTGGAAAAGATCTAGCGTGGGTTCTATCTCTTTGTCCTTACATATAGCAAGAAAGCCCGCAATTACCTGGTGACCATTGGGAAAAAGCTGACTGGGGGCTATCTCGTAGTGGTTCATAAAATCTATCACAAACCTATAAAGGGGAAACCGCAGCCCAACCTGTAGCGACAGAAGATGGACCCCAAAATAATTATCCAGGGGTGGGTCGGTGATATTACCCCGAGGGTCAGGAGGGAGAGTTAGAACGTCAGGACTAAGGAGACCTCTAATATCATCCCAATCCCGTCCCCCTAATTGAGGCTGTATGGACAAGACAAGGGACTTATCAAGAACAGAATAGGAGGCCTTGCGTTTTTTCTTCTTTTTCATTTGGGGCTTAGGTGTAGGCGAGTCAGCAACAAACGGAAGAGGGGGAAAATTTTCAAAAAGAGGGGAATCATCAAGAAGGTATTCCTCATCAAAATCAAGTTCTCCAACATCAATCAAAGGGGTGACATCCATTATGAAGCAAAAGACACTAACCTCACCTCGGTTACAGATAAGCTCGCAGGACTTGGGTACAAAAACTGCCTGTTAGGAAAAGAGCGTGTCAAAAATAAAAAATAAAAAATAAAATAAAATAAAAAAAAGGCTGAGGCCGCACCTCAGCCAAGGCCGAGGCACACGCCTCGGCCTCCTGGTTGAGGCGCACGCCTCGGCCACAGGTCGAGGCCACGCCTCGGCCAAGTGGCTGAGGCCACGCCTCGGCTACGGGCCGAGGCCGCGCCTCGGCCACAAGTCGATCCAAAAAATAAAAAATAAAAAATAAAAAAATAGGGGGCTGAGGCCGCGCCTCAGCCAAGGCCGAGGCACACGCCTCGGCCTCTTGGTCGAGGTCGCGCCTCCGCCAAGGCCGAGGCACACGCCTCGGCCTCCTGGTCGAGGCGATGCCGCGGCCAGATGGCCGGGGCGACGCCACGGCCAGATGGCCGGGGACGCGCCTCGGTCACAGGCCGAGGCCGCGCCTCGGCCAAGTGGCTGAGGCGACGCCTCGGCCACAAGCCGATCCAAAAAATAAAAAATAAAAAATAAAAAAATAGGGGGCTGAGGCCGCGCCTCAGCCAAGGCCGAGGCACACGCCTCGGCCTCTTGGTCAAGGTCGCGCCTCCGCCAAGGCCGAGGCACACGCCTCGGCCCCCTGGTCGAGGCGATGCCTCGGCCAGATGGTCGGGGCCGCGCCTTGGTCACAGGCCGAGGCCGCGCCTCAGCCAAGTGGCGGTGGCGACGCCTCGGCCACAAGCCGATAAAAAAAAAAAAGAGGGGCCGGGCAACGCCTCAGCCACAGGCCGAGGCGCACGCCTCGGCCAGATGGCTGAGGCCGCGCCTCAGCCCAAAGCCGAGGCGCACGCCTCGGCCAGATGGCCGAGGCGGTCAAGTGGCCGAGGTGACGCCTCGGCCACAAGCCGAGGCGCGGCGCCTCGATCAAAAAAAAAATAAAAGAAAAGAAAAAGGCAGGACACGTACACTCATATATACATAAATACCTTGTAAAATAAATTGTAAAATAATAATGACAGCGGAGACTTACAGAGCTGTGGCAAAAAGTTGTTGAAAAAGTGCTCTCAAACTGCTCAGTGAGACAGGGGTTTATATTGGAGAGGAGCTTGAGATAAAAAAGTTAAGTGAAGTAGGAAAGGATTGGGAAAGCACAAATCAGGGATTTGGAAGGCAAGTTAGGGATTTGGAAAACAAAACCAAATATCCTAAATCAAGCAGAATTCTATACAGGATCAAATAAAATATCCTAAATCAAGAGGATCCTACACAAGATCAAAATAGATTCAGCTTTACTCCCAAGTCAACTCAAACACATCCGTTGACTCAGGAGTAGGGGGGACTGGTGACAGGATAATAGGGCTGGCACCCGACCCGGATCACAAATGGGCATTGACTCAGCATCGCATGGGAACCCAACGGGCAGAACTCCAACGGTTAGGAATTCCAACAGGTGCCACCTTACTGTCATTGAAGCCCCCATTGATGAGAGAGAATTAAAGGCTAGGCTCCCCATTTATGTCCCATGTTGTTACTGTTAGGACTCTAAGTATAAATGGGGCTCTCCTCAGCTAGCAAAGGACACACTGTACTTTCTATACTGAAACTAAAGCAATACAACTATTGTCACTTTCTTATTCGTTACTTTATATTATATTTCCGGTAACATATTCACCGTCAATTATTATTATTATTACTATTATTGTTTTTGTTGTTATTGTTATTATTCTAATTTTTTTTATACTTGAACAATAATATTTTTATTATACTTGAACAATAATATTATCAATTATATTATATTATAGAATATAATACCATATATAATATTACCAATTAATAGATTTCATTCTTCAGTTGAGTTACCATGATTTACATCCTCCCAAATGCTCTGTCGGGTCGGAGTGTGGGGGGCCCTTAGGGTTCGGGTTCAGCCTTTTGAAAGAATTAATAGATTTTATTTAATTTCCATTTGACATTTACTTACAAAAAAAGTTTTGAATCTTTATATTCAGAATGCCATAACTATATGTTCATAATTATGCTCACAACACTATGTTCATAATTATAGAACTAAATGTTCATAATTGTTGAACTATATATTCATAATTACGAACAATTTTGGAATCGTGTCTACCTTGCAA